GGAGCCGGGGAGCAAAGCCTTGGAGCACGCCCGCAGCGGGACAGCCCGGGCGCGCTTGAGCTGTCCCCCTGCGGGCGTGCTCTGCGGCTTTGCTCCCCGTCTCCCTGGTCTGCCCGAGCCTCTCCGCGGCTTTGCTCCGCGTCTTCCTGGTCTGCAGACCAGGGAGACGCAGAGCAGCTTTTCTCGCCCTGGAGTACACGGGCGGCAGGGCCGCGAGGTCCCGCAGTCCGTGTCCTCCGGGGCGAGAAAAGCCACGTTCGTAACTGCGGATCCGACATAAGTCGGATCCGCGTAAGTCGGGGACTGCCTGTATTTGGTTTCTCTTTTCAGTTTACAGTGTTTCCTAAGGCTCTCTGGATTCCTGTTATAGATCAAAGGAGCCTTTCATCTCACATCTATAGCTTGTAGCTAAATGCTGCCTTTATGCCTAAAACAGAATGAGCAGTAATCCTAAATATCAATAGTTATTTCAAACACAAAATGACACACCCTCTTCTACTTCCTTCTCTGTGGCTTCTTCTCCCCGCGTAGGGACGAGAACCATCAGAGGTACAATTGGATGGAAAGGCTTCGCCTGAAGGAGTTGTTTCAATTGCAGCAAAGCCGAAAGCCAGTAAACATCCTCCTCAGCCACATCTTCACTTCTCACTCGAGGGGGCAACAGGAGAACTAGACCACTAGTTCCAAGCAGATCCTTCTGTGCCTCAGCCACATCAAGCTGCGAATCGCTGAGGGTACCATGGGCCACCTGCACAAGTACAAAGCAGACCATTCAGTTACAGCAAACATGGGCTCAAAAAGAAATTTACTCACCCTGCGCAGTAACAACTGTTCTTTGAGGCGTGTTTCTCCTCGTGGGTGCTCCACTGTTGATGACAGGTGGCCCCCGGAGCTGGAGATCAGAGTCTTTTGAAGCAGTTATCAGTTGCACCAGGAATGCATGAAAGGCACCTCATGCCATTTGCACCTTGGCACCTCACATGCACCCAAGAGAGCTGGGCGCCGAGTAAAGCAGAGGGAGGGAGGGTCGTGGAGCACCCAGAGAGAGAGATACACCTCCAAGTACAGTAGTTACTGCACAGAGTGAGTAACTTCCTTTCCTTCTTCAGGTGATATCCCCATTGGTGCTCCTCTATTGGTGACTACAATGTAGTAGTCAATGTGGATGGTGGGACTCAGTCACTGCTTGGAAGCAGAAAATAGCACAGCTATTTTGACAAAGGAATGGTCAGATGACCAAGTGGCTGCCTGGTAGATGTCATTGAGGGGTACATTGTTCAAGATGGCCGTAGAGGTGGCCATCGCACAAGTGTAGTTTATTCTTGGTGAAGAGATGAGCAACTTGTTTCAGATAGAGTAACATCGTACTATGCAGGACGAGATCTTTTTGGAGATCCACTGGGTTGAGATCGGTGTGTCGTTGGATCACTCTGTGATGGAAATAAAGAAGCGCAGAGATTTACGAAAAGCATGAGTCCTGTCTATGAAGAAGACTAATGCCAATCAAATGTCCCAACAATAAAGCATTGCATCCCTGGGGGAATGTATGCAGTTTTGGGTAAAGAGTGGGCAAAAGTATGGGCTCATTAATGTGGAATGAGGTACCAGTTTTCGGCAGAAATGCAGGATGTGGTTGTAAAATCACCCTGTCCTTTGAGAAGACTGTATAGGGGTGTATTGGCCATCAATGCTTCTATCTCGCTGACCTTTCTGGCCGAAGTAATAGCTAACAGGAACAGCACTTTCATGATAAAGAAAGGAAGAGGGCATGTGGCCATAGGTTCGAATGGGGGTCGCATAATACAAAGGAGCACCAAATTCAAGTCCCATGAGGGTGCCAGGGGCCTATGCAGGAGGCAGAGATTCAGAAGACCTCAAAGAAATCTCATAGAAGGGAATACAAAGACAGGTGACCCTTCTATTTGTTTGTGAAAGGCTGCTTTTGATGCCAACTGTATCTTGCTGGAAGAAAGGGATAGACCCCTCTTCCCACCTTTAAACGTAAAATGTAGTCTAGGACACAGGGAAGCTGAGCAGTGTGGGAATCAAGGTGAGCTTGTTGACACCAAAAGGGAAAACGCTTCAATTTCTGGAATAAGTATATCTGGTAGATGGCCTCCTACTGTGAAAGAGAATAGACTTGACGTGCTCAGAACACTGGGACTCAGCTTCGTGGAACCAGAGAGGAGCCACGCGTGTAGGTGAAGAGTACGAGGCTGAGGGAGAAGTAGTTTCCCCTGGTTCTGAGAGAGGAGGTTGTGACGGTGAGGAAACTGGTGTGGCAGCTCTAGCGACATGCAGTGGAGATACTGGAATCATGTTTGCCTGGACCACGATGGGACTATCAAGATAACCCGGGCACTGTCGGAGTGAATCTTGAGCAGGACTCTGGGGATGAGCAGAATTGGTGGAAATATGTAGTACAGTGGTTGGTCCCAGTGTATCAGGAAAGCATCTCCCAACGAGCCTTGGCCAAGACTGGCCTGAAGCAGAAGCAAGGGCACTTGGCATTATGCCGAGTGGTGAAGAGGTCTATGGAAGGATAGCCCCAGCTCTGCGGCAAGCTCCGTGGGATCTAACTCCCACTTGTAGTCGGTGAAGAAATTGCTGCTCAGGGTATCCGCTGTGACACTGTTCACCCCCGGAAGGTATGCTGCTTTTAAGGTGTCCCCCATGACAAATGCACCAATTCCGTAGATGGATGGCCTCCGTACAAAGGGTTCAGGAACAGGAACCCCCCTGCCTGTTTATATAGAACATAGTGGTCATATTGTCTGTAAGTATTCAGACAGCGGAGTTGGTAATGTGTGCAAAGTGTGCACATACATTCCTTACAGCCCTGAGTTTGATTAGATTGGTATGGATTGTGGTTTTGTGGGGCAGCCACTTGCCCTGAGACGTAGGTTGATGGAGGTGTACTCCCCAGCTCAGATGGGAGGTGTCAGTAGTGATTTGCACCGTTGGCTTGGGCTGATGGAAAGGAACACCTACTAGGAGGTTGTTGGATGATGTCCTCCACTTGAGAGAATCCAATACTTTCTTTGGAATGGAGACCGGTTTGTGAAGTGGATGGTGGGAGGGTGTGGAGATTGACCCCAGCCAATGCTACAGAGTGCCAAAGTGCAGGCACCCAAACTACATGACGTATGTGGTGGCTGCCATGTGACCCATCAGCTGAAAACAGGTATGAACCATAGTGGAAGGAGTTACGGCTAACAAGGCTGAGATCTTGTATGGCTGACAAGCGTTGAGTTTTGGTAGATAAGCTTGGGCAGTAACAGAGTTGAGGCGAGCCCCAATGAACTCTACGTCCTGAACGGGAACTAGAGTTGATTTCTGTTAGTTTCTTAGGAGCCCTAGAAACTGAAACACAAGTCTGGTCTTGCAGACCATGTTGGCGACCTCTGCGTATGACTGACCTTTTATAAGTCAATCGTCCAAATAAGGAAATATCACTACCCCATGTTGCTAAAGGTGTTCTGTCACCACTGCAAGGACTTTTGAAAAAATGCGGGAGGCGGATGATAGGCCAAAGGGGAGGACCCTGAATTGAAAAGGGTCCTCGCCCACAGGTACCTTAGATATTGTCTGTGGGCCGGGTGTAAGGTGACGTGAAAATGTGTGTCCTGTAGATCAAGAGTTGCAAACTAGTCCCCTTTATCCAGTACTGGGATGACTGATTCCAACGTGACCATCTTTAATCACTCTTTGCGTAGGAACTTGTTTCATTTGCAGATACCTAAAAATCGGTCTCCAGCTGCCCATACTTTTTTGGATCAGGAAATAATTAGGAAAAAAATGTCCCTCAATATGCATCCAGAACCCTCTCTATCGCCCCTAGGAGAAAGCGGCAGTCAACTTCTTTTCTGAGAAGAGTCTTGTGGGAGGGGTCTCTGAAAAGGGACAGGGTGGAGGGAAGGGTAGGGGGAAGCGAGATCAAGGGAATGGGGTATCCTGTACTGATAGTCTCCAAGATTCTCTGGTCTGATGTTATGGAGTCCCATTGTAGGAAAAAGTGATGTAGTCTGTGGGCAAAAAGATGGTTGTGATTTACTGGCATTGGATTGGCCCTTGACCAAATGCTCAGATTTGTTGTTTTGACACCTCAGAAGTGGAGGAGCATGACTGAAGTGGATGCCTCCTCTGAGCCCATTGCCTGGGTCAGTTATAGTCGTAGGACCTCTGTTGAGGCTAGTTGTAGTAACTGTCCTTGTTCTTATTGTAAGGGGTGTAGTGTTTCCATCGGTACGGTGCCCAAGTTATGTAGTGTGGATTCTGAGTCCTTACTACTGTGTAGGACCTCATCATCTTGGCAGCGAAGAGCTTTAACTTATCGAAGGAGAGGTCCTCCACCTCAACTGGAAATCCTTGGGTACCCCAGCTGGTTGGAGCCAAGACACTCTGCGCATTAGACAGCCGTAGCAGTTGCCCTGGCAGCTGCGTCCACTACATCAAGCAAGGACTGTAAGGTTGTGTGCGCAATAGTATAGTATGTCCTTCATGGATCACAGACCGAAGGACAGGTCTTTTGGAATCTGGTAAGTGCTTCATTAGGTCAGCCAACTTAGAGGAGTTATCAAAGTCATGATTGGCTAGGAGCACTGAATAATTTGTGATGGAAAGCTGTAGAGTGGCAGAGGAATGTATTTTTCTTTCAAATAGGTTCAGTTTCTTATGTGCCTTATCATTAGGCATTGATCTGAATTGCGGAGTTTTGGCCCAATGATTTGCCTCATCCACAACCAGGGAGTTTGGCTGTGGGTGGGAAAAGAGAAAGTCTAGGTCCTTAGGAGGGACAAAGTATTTTCTGTCCACTTTTTTGCATGTCGATTGGATTGAAGCAGGGGTTTGCCATATCTCATCCAATACCTCCATATCGTCTCATCAATGGGTAATGCAATCTTAGCCTGAGAGGTAGGACAGATATTCTTAAGAAGGCAGTGCTGCTTTTCTTTAACCTCCTGAAGTTTAACCTCTTGGCTAGTAGCCAGCCTTTTTAAAAGTTCTTGAAATTGCTTCGAGTTGTCAGAAGGACATGCATCCTCCTGGATCACAGCCTCATCTGGTGATGAAGATGACTTATCAGTAGGTGAATCACTGGAAGCATGCGTGTCAGACTCCTCATCTTGAATTTGGCCCTCCTCTTCCTCCAAATCGGCTGTAGTCCGGAGTGGGCGAGAAGGTGAAGTTGGTGAAGGCCTCCTAGCTTGGGTGGATGCTGCTGGGGAACGGTGTCTACCTGGAACCCAATGCTCCCATGGGGCCCAGTGAGGTGGATATTGCAGCAAGACCATCTGGCCTGTGAGCATAAGAAGAAGGGTGGTGCTTTCTCTCTTGGTGACTCTAGTAATTGCTGGACATTGTAGGATAAGAGTGCTGCGAGGAGAAGACAGTCCTCTGGTCATCATCTGGGAAGGCAGAGCTTCAGACAGCACTGGTGATCTGATGGACCAGAGAGAAGCATAGGGGGAGAACAGCACCAGCAAATGATCCCTGTATGGCGGAAAGGAAGCATGCCAAGCACCATGTCCAATCAACACCGGTGATTCAGAGACGCACCTTCATGGTGCTGATGGCTCACCATGTGGCAGGCCTGCAGCGGTGCAGATGCCGGTGCCAGTACTGTAGCCATTGCCATGTGATTTGATGGCAGAAATGAATGACCTATGAGGGGTGTGTTCAGTCTGCGGTGCTGGTGGCTTTATCGGCACCAGTTCTTGGTGTTTCCGAGGATTGTCTGTGTGGCCTCCGGTACCAAGCATGTTTGGGTCAGCACCAAGGAGGCGCAAGCCCCAGAGGAAGCAGTGCCAGTAGATGATCTTGGCACTGTGGTACCAGAGGTTCACCTCCCCAGCTAACTCTGGGAGATAGGGTCGGAGAAAGAGATTTAGCTGGAGAAGCTCTCTTCTTCGAGGCCTTAAGTAGCAAGGGTGAGGCAGATCTTTTCTTCACTGTCTCCAGCTGAGGGAACTGTGATCCATCCATGGGCTGCATGGCCTTTTCAAATAAAATCATGCAGAGCCCAAACTCGCTGTCCTTCCTGGCATGGGCAACGAGCCTATAGCAATGTTCACATTTTGAGGTATGCAAGCCTCTCCCAAGCAGCGAATACAGGATGCATAACCCTCTGACACAGGCAAGGGTTCACAACATGAATCGCACTTTTTAAACCCTGGCGAGCCTAGCATGCCTTTCCTGTCTCCTTCATTCTTGTTTTTTCTTTTCTCTGTCTCTCTTTTTTTTTTTTTTTAAAACACCACATAGGAGGATGGGAAGTCAAGTAGCTGGACTTTCCCATCAGGAGGCCCCGCGGTCCTCTCAAATGAAAAACCTTGTGTGTGTTTGTTTGTTTAAACAGATAACACAAACAATAACAGTAACTGCTAAATAAGTATCTGAGAAGAAACAACACTGCGCTGACTGCGTGAGGAGCAAACACTTGAGGCAAGAGACGAGTTCCGTCCACAACTGAGGGCGGTAAGCGAGGAACTGAAGGGGATGTTGGGCCACGTGCGTGAGGTGCCAAGGCGCTAATGGCACAAGGTGCCTCTCACGCATGTGTGGCCCAACCAATAACTACTTCAAAAGACTCATCTGCGGCTTCAGGGGCCACCCATCAGCAACACAGCACCCACAGGGACATTGCCCAAAGAAGAACATGCTGAATGCTGTAGATCAAGCTAGCAATGACAGGAGGCTTCTTCCTGGTAACTTTAGGGGAGAGAAGAAACAAAAAAAGCTTGCAGGGACAGGAAGAGAAAAATGAGCGAGACATTGAATACAGGCACTTCATGTACATATATGCATGCACATATCTCATAAAAACTTCATAAAATTAATTGTATTTAGGTTGCCATGTCAAGCAATCAAAAGCTAGGTAACTCTAGGAGTAAAGCTGCTACCTTAATTTGGCACCCTCACACTATAATTTTAAATTCTTGAAAAGGACTTAAAAAAAAAAAATCAAGAAAAATTACAACAGAAAGGAAAAAAAGAGGCAAAGAAAAGGAAAAAAATAGGGAAGACAAAAATTAAAAATAAATCAATTTCAAACCATTCTTTGCAAAAAATAATTTAGAAAAAGATTTTTATGAATAAATGTTGATAAAAATGATTTCCATGTACACACACTCATAAGCTGATGGGAAAATATATCTATCGATAATCAAAATATACAGACAGACATGAAAGAAAAATGCTGAGAACTTACTAGAATTTGATTTAAGGCTACATTTTTAAATAAGATGCCAACATCTTACATTTCAGTAATTATAATGTTTTAAGTCTCAATGTCTACAGTCATTACATAATTATTTTCTGTTCAACCTCCACATGACAACTGTGAAGATTTAAAGAGATGAAACTTTTTAAAAAACTTAAAAATAAACATTGATATTATCCATCTAAAGGCATTCCTACACAGCAGGACAAAAGTCAAATGAAGCTCAAGTTGTGTAGCTATGTCAATTGCGTAGCTTAAATCAAACTTAATTAATCTTTTGGTGCTGTCTACACAGCAAGAAGATGGGGGGAAAACACTCTTCCTTCGATTTCCCCAACTCCTCGTAAAATGAGGGTTACAGGAGTCAGAGTAAGAAGTCCTCCAGCTCGCCATTATTTCGAAATAATGGCTTGCAGTGTAGACGTGCTCTTCGTTATTTCAGAATAACTGATGTTATTCCAGAATAACGCTGCTGTGGAGACATACCCTCAGGGTATGTCAAAAGAAAAAATAAAAACTGACTTTTGCTAAGATGGACTCTAAAGGTTTGAATGCAGTTAAAATAATTAAATTTTGAGACCACTGACTGGTACAAATTTGTCAACGGTGATGAACTTGCAGACGACACCACACAGAGATAGCCTTGGCAAAACATTCCTTAGCATCAGAGATGAGACTGGGGAGCAATGCACAGCTAACAGACTACCCTTATGTACCTTTATACACACGTTGACACAAACAGCTCGATCTCCTTGCATACCAACAGAGTTCAACAATGAAAGTGTCTGGACTCTCTGCTCTGGGTTGGAAATCATATCTTCTGATCTTTTATCTCCCATAAATTTGGTTTTCAACCAGTCTGCTAGTACTCTGTGAACAAAAAAGGAACCATCTTTTTCATTTGATATTATAGGTGGCACTGTCAGCAAAGGTTATTGTTAAGCGATTATGTTCCATTATAAACCCCAATTTAAAATTGTTTAGAACGTTGCCAAAGTTTAACTATTTCAGCTAAAGCTTTCTATGCTAGATGTCTGCCTTACATTGTTTGTTCATTCCTGCAAACAAAATGGCTTGTTTCTGTGAATGAAAATAAGGGAAAATGGGTAGTTTTACCAACTTTAAGTTTAGCCAAGAGATAGTTCTGGGGGTCCCCAGGAAAATCCATTCAGATTGATCTCAGTTATAACCCTCTGAAAAATGCCACTTGGAGATGATCAGTTGACGTTTTCGGAAGCTTGCTACTAAAATCTCCAAGTGTTCCTTCCACAATAAGCGTACTCCAACCCCGCACCAGCTTCAATGAGCATCCTCATAAGCTCCACTCATTCTCCTCAACGGGAAGTGCACAGCTAGTGGTCAAGAAGGGGCACAGGCTCAGCAGCACTGCTCTCTACCACCTTAGACCTAGAGCAAAGTGTGCTCGTCTGGGAACCAGGTGCCTTCCCTGGCTGCTGATAATTCTGTATACTTTACTGCACTGACTGAACATAGCCTCTCACCTCTATCTCTTTCACCCATTTGCTCGGTCATTCATTGCCTTTCTTTCTACCCAGGACACAAGGACATGGAGACTTGGATTTCAGTGACATTTCCAACTCTTTCATACTGTCTGTATGACATGCACAGGAATGCTGATTGGTTCCTTTGTTTACCTGCTGGAATCCTCTGTTGGACTTCCTTCATAACTTGGCAACACCAAGAGCACCTTCCAAAATATGTGTTCTCGCTGAAATGGAATATTTTCAATGATCAGTGAAGGTAGATCCAGGGGAGTCCATGCTGCATCACTTAAAAGAGAGTGAAAAGTTTATGAAAAATAAGTACCAGTCAATATCTTGAACTTTTTAAATCAGTCTTTCTTTTCACCCTAACCTAGGTTTAAAAAAAGATTTTTGTTTTATTCTGTTTATTCCCTTGGAAACTCTTGGCATCAGCCACTTTTGGAACACACGGCACTGAGCAAAACCATCAATCTGACCACATATGGCTATTCTCATGTTCTGGAAAGGTCAGAGTGGCTGTCTGTGCACCTGCATGCTAAAGCAAGCAACATTTTGAAGCTGTGAACACAGACAACAGACTTTGAATCAATGAATGCAGTACCGTATATTCCGGCGTACAAGACGACCTCTGAAGTTAAAAAACATCCCCCAAAAATCGGGGGTCGTCTTGTATGCCGGAT